AGAGAGGAAATACACCCTTATAATAAAAGGGTTCTAACTAGAACCATAAAGGGTTCGTAGGACCCTTTATGATTCAAGGCCCTTGATGATTCTAGCGGTAGAAGCCTCTGGAAAGGGTTCTACCCAGCAGCTCCCAAATGAAAAATACTACAGATCACTATAGACTACTACAGTACATACTATTTAATTATATAGAAACTGTAGTATGCTGTAGAATACTATACTACACACTGTAGTATCCATCGATCATGTGTAGTACTTACTATAAAATGTTATAGTATACTGAAATACTATTGTGAATACTTCAGTATTATCCCCTAAAAAACACTGTAGGAAATAATAATAACGTTTTATTTGTCACATGCGCCGAATACAATGTGCAGGGGTATGAGGTCGTTGAGGTAATTGAGGAAATATATCCTGAGTGTACAAAAAATTAAGGACACCTGCTCTTTCCATGACATAAACTGACCAGGTGAATCCAGGTAAAAGGTATGATCCCTTATTGATGTCACTTGTTAAATCCACTTCAGTCCGTGTAGATGAAGGGGAGGAGACAGGTTAAAGAAGGATTTTTAAGCCTCGAGACAATTGAGACATGGATTGTGTATGTGTGCCATAAAGAGAGTGAATGGGCAAGACAAAATATTTCAATTGCCTTTGAACGAGGTATGGTAGTAGTTGCCAGGCGCACCAGTGTGTGTCAAGAACTGCAACAATGCTGGGTTTTTCACGCTCAACAGTTTCCCATGTGTATCAAGAATGGTCTACCACCCAAAGGACATCCAGCCAACTTGACACAACTGTGGGAAGCATTGGAGATAACATGGGCCACATCCCTGTGGAACTCTTTCGACAGCTTATAGAGTCCATGTCTCTAGGCTGTTCTGAGGGCAAAAGGGGGGGTGCAAGTGCAACTCAATATTAGGAAGGTGTTCTTAATGTTTTGTACAGTCAGTTTATAGTATTATTTTATGTGGGCATCTATGAAGGTTTCCACCTAGAACCCTTTTATTTTCTAGGTTTTACATGTTGCTGGAGGGTTGTGGGTAATTGTGAACCCCTGTTCTTTGCATTAGTTCACTTAGGGTTGTACCTATGATTTTGATTGTTGTTTTATTCTACTTGTATTGTTTCTGTGTTTATATTTCTGTGTTTCGTTGGGGTGGCTAAACTTGTACTGTCAGTGAGAAAGCTTATTCAGATGAAAAGGGTTATAGGTAGAACCTTATTCCTTATCGAAAAAACGTTTTGGGGAAAAAATGTATACTTAACATGGAGCATGCTCTTCCCTCTCTGTGACCTAACAGCGCTCTGCACAGGCAGCAGTGGAGGACAGTGATAGGATATTTACTGAGCTGATCCGCTCCATTGAGAGAAGGCGCTCTGAGGTGAAGGATCTGATCAGAGACCAGGAGAAGGCTCAAGTGAGTCAAGCTGAAGGACTCCTGGAGCAACTGGAGCAGGAGATAGCTGAGCTGAGGAGGAGAAACGCTGAGATGGAGCAGGTCTCACACACAGAGGATCACATCCATTTCCTCCAGGTAACTAAACTTCCTTGATACAGGTGATACAGAAATTAACTTGTTGTGAAACTATACATTTTGTCAATTATATTTAATTCTGTATATCTGTAGTCATATCTGGGGCCCAGTGTAGCTCAGTTGGTAGAGCATGGCGCTTACAACGCCAGGGTTGTGGGTTTGTTTCCCACGGGGGCCAGTATGAAAAAAATATATAAAAAAATAAAAATGTATGCACTCACTAACTGTAAGTTGCTCTGGATAAGAGCGTCTGCTAAATGACTAAAATGTAAAAATGTCATGTTTGCTGACATTTGTTATTAATAAAAAATATTTCATCACAAAAACACTTTTTCTCAATTATTCTCTCTCTCTCTCTCTCTCTCCCTCCCTCCCTCCACAGAGTTATCAGTCTCTCTCTCTCTCTCTCCCTCCCTCCCTCCCTCCACAGAGTTATCAGTCTCTCTCCAGTCTCAGTGTCTCTTCAGACTTACCCAGCATCGTTATCTGTCCTCAGTACTTTGGACCTGTGAATAAGGCAGTTTCTGGTGTAAGAGAGAAACTAGAAGAATTCCTTAAAGAAGAATGTACGAAGATCTCCACTACAGGTGGGTTGAAAGTAATACTAACAAAATACTGTACATAAGAACACCTAGTTTAGAAGATGTACAATATGGTATGCTGATAATATTTTGTGTGTCTAGTGAATTCAGTGGATGTTTTACTGCCTCCAGAGCCCAAGACCAGAGAACAGTTCTTACAATGTGAGTTTCTTCATCAAGTAACTAACGATCTCTTTTTACTGACACTCCTCACAAACCTTGTGATAAAGCAGTAGTAGATACTGCTCTCATTGGTCTCTGCTCTTCTGTAATCAAATACAGGGTTGATACTGTACAGTGGGTGACTTAACTTACTGTTCTAACTCCCCTCATTGGTCTCTGCTCTGCTCTTCTCACAGATTCCTGTCAGCTCACACTGGACCCAAACACAGCACAGAAATCCCTCTTTCTGTCTGAGGGGAACAGAAAGGTGACAGTTAAACATTCTGTTCAAGATCCAAATCCTGAGGTTCATCGTGGGACTGTTTTTACAGCAGTCTCATATAAAGGCATAAGTAGAATCGGGTTGGTTTATGATTCCAGATTCGGATACATTGACAAGTCTTGGGGTTTAGAGTGGTCTAGTAATGGTTATAGTTTCAGACACAATAATGTTGAGACTAAAGTGTCAGGCCCTCAGTCCTCCAGAGTAGGAGTGTACCTGGATCACAAGGCAGGTATTCTGTCCTTCTTCATCTCTGACACAATGACCCTCCTCTACACAGTCGAAACCACATTCACTCAGCCCCTCTATCCTGGGTTATGTGTTTGGTACCAAAATGATTCAGCTGAGATGTGTAAACTGTAGTGTTTCCCATATTAGAATTATGGTTTATGCTCTTTTACTCTGGTCTGTACAATAATTTGTCAGAGGGATTTAATCTTAATTATTGTCTATGTTTTAATCTTATACAGTGCCTTCAGAAAGTATTCACACCTCTTGACTTTTCCACATTTTTAGATTTTGTGTCGCTGGCCTTCACACAATAACCCATAACATCACAGCAGAATTATATTTTTAGAATTTTTCACAAATTAATAAAAAATAAACAACTGAAATGTCTTGAGTCAACCCCTTTGTTATGGCAAGCCTAAATAAGTTCAGGAGTAAGAATTTGCTTAACAAGTCACATAATAAGTTGCATGGACTCTGTGTGCAATAATAGTGTTTAACATTATTTTCTAATGACTACCTCATCTCTGTACCCCACATATACAATTATCTGTAAGGTTCATCAGTCAAGCAGTGAATTTCAAACACAGATTCAGCCACAGAGACCAGGGAGGTTTTCCAATGCCTCGCAAAGAAGTGCACCTATTGGTAGATGGGTAGAAATAAGCAGACATTGAATATCTCTTCGTGAAGTTATTAATTACACTTTGGATGGTGCATCAATACACCCAGTCACTACAAAGATACAGGCGTCCTTCCTAAATTTGCCGGAGAGGAAGGAAATCGCTCAGGGATTTCACCATGAGGCCAATGGTGACTTTAAAACAGTTCGAGTTTAATGGCTGTGATAGGAGAAAACTGAGGATGGATCAACAACATTGTAGTTACTCCACAATACTAACCTAAATGAATCCTGTAAAGAATACAAAATATTCAAAAACATGCATCCTGTTTGAATCAAGGCACTAAAGTAATACTGCAAAGAATGTGGCAAAGAAATTAACTTTTGGTCCTGAAGACAAAGCATTATGTTTGGGGCAAATCCAACATAACATATCACTGAGTACGACTCTTCATATTTTCAAGTATGGTGGTGGCTGCATCATGTTATGGGTATGCTTGTCATCAGCAAGGACTAGGGAGTTTTTTTATGATAAAAAGAAACGGAATAGAGCTAAGCACAGGCAAATCCTAGAGGAAAACCTTTTTCAGTCTGCTTGCCAACAGACACTGGGAGACAAATGTACCTTTCAGCAGGACAATAACCTAAATCACAAGGCCAAATATACACTGGAGTTGCTTACCAAGATGACATTGAATGTTCCTGAGTTGCCTTGCAATAGTTTTGACTTAAATGGGCTTGAAAATCTATGGCAAGACTTGAAAATGTCTGTCTAGCAATGATCAACAACCAACTTGACAGAGCTTAAATAATTTTAAAAATAATAATTGGCAAATATTGTACAATCCAGGTGTGAAAAGCTCTTAGAGACTTACCCAGAAAGACACAGCTGTAATCGATGCCAAAGGTGAATCTAACATGTATTGACTCAGCGGTGTGAATACTTATGTAAATTAGATACTGTATTTATTTATTTCATTTTCAATAAATTTGCTAACATTTCTAAAAACATGTTTTCACTTTGTCATTATGGGGGATTGTGTGTAGATTGGTTGGGGAAATTCAGGCTGTAACACAACAAATTGTGGAATAAGTCCAGGGGTTTGAATACTTTCTGAAGGCACTACATTCACATTCATATTCATGCATTCTCACTTTGATGTAGCCTATACTGAATAACAACTACTGTATTGATATCTTTTCTAAATTAAAAATAACTTATTGTTTGTTAATTTCAACATGTTTTACTGTTATTTATCTACTGATCCTTACATTTTAATCTATTCAATTTCCTAAAATATATCTTTAGCAGGCCTAGTCAATTTTATGCTGCACCTTTACTACTCAATCAACCGTCCAGCAGATGGTGATATGGCAAAAATAAATTATTGATTGACCTCTTGCCTCTCAGTAAACCACCAAAATAAACCATATTTCTATATGTTCATCTTTAAGTGTTTATGTTTTAAACTACATGACTTGACAATATAACTAAATAAAATAATATTTAGCAGCACATTCCTGCTTTACGGCGGTGGAAGATTGTTGTAAAAGTAAACCATGTGACTTATGTGACGTCAGCTCGATGTTACTTCCGGGTTTGCCTTATTTTCTTGACGGGCAGATAGATTCTTTGTTGTTTTGAGTTATTGGGTATTTATTTCAAAATGAACCGTATTTTCGGTCGAGGAAAACCGAAGGGACCACCACCAAATCTAACGGAATGTATAGGAAATGTAAGTATATGGAAATAACTTAATCAGAGCAGTGTCTTTGACAAACAAACAAAATAACTTGGCATGCTGGCTGGCTAACGGTAACTAGCTTGCTACTGTAGCTGGATGACAGCTGATTGTTCTAGAAACAATGGGAGAGAGTTATGGCCTGCATGACAGCCCATTTGATATCTATAGTTTATAGAATACTGTTTAGCTACATACTTTTCAGCATGGTATTGAAAGTTAGTTTGATTAGCCTTGTAATATTGTCGTAGTTGCTAAGCTAACTTGCCTAATTAGCTAGATGGCCAATTGACTAAAGTTCAGTAAGGTGATGCTGGTTTTCCACTGTCTGTAGGCTAAAACAGTGGTTCCCAACCAGGGGTACTAGGCCTATCCACAGGGGGTACTTGAGAACACTCATGAGACCATAGGCTTATTGGTAAAATGCACATGAGGGGGTACTTCAGGGGTACTCCGGGCAGAGAGAAATTCAGCTGGTGGTACAGTAACTGAAAAAGGTTGGGAACCACTTGGCTAAAAGGTGTAGTTCCTTCAACCAACCAGTTTTACAGGTTTGACCACATTAGGTATTTAGCTAGTGCCATTGACTGTAAAAATGAAAGAAAATTCTTCATTGATTATTTGATCATTATAATAACTTGTACATGTATTTGAATAACTTTTTCTGATATCACAAAATGTTATTACAAAGACTTCAGACTCATACAAGAGTATTGAGGTATGTAGGTGCTTTTAGCAACGGGATGTATTAACATACACAAGCGTTGCTTTCAATTATATTGGGTTGCACAAAAACAGTCAGTGGGAAGCCAGAAGTAAAATTCAATTTCAATTTACTGTGCGGTCATTATGATGGGGGAAGTTTTAGACAAAATATCTAAAGGATCATTTTATTAAACAGACTTTCTAAACGGGGGTCTGTTGTAGACCCACTTCCTCTCTGCTTACCTCATGTCAAAATAAAAGTCCTGCACGAGCCAAATGTGGACAAAAATATATATAATTTGTGGGGGACTTTTAGATATTTTGTCTCAAATTCCCCCGTCTTAATGACCAACAAAGTAAGTGGAAATGGAATTGTATTTAACTTCTGGCTTCCCACAGACTGTTTTTGTGCAACCCAATACAATTCAAAGCAACGCTAATGTATGTAAATACACCCGCGTTGCAAGAAGAACCTATGACAGGGTTCCCCAACTGGCAGCCCGCGGGCTGAATTTGGCCCCCGCGTGGTTTTATTTGGCCCCCCCCAAAATAAAATAATACATACATACATACATACATACATACAGTGCTTTCGGAAAGTATTCAGACCCCTTGGCTTTTTCCACATTTTGTTACGTTGCAGCCTTATTCTAAAATGGATTAAATAAAAAAATATCCTCAGCAATCTACACACAATATGCCATAATGACAAAGTGAAAACAGGTTTTTAGAAATGTTTGATTAAAAATAGAAACAGAAATACCTTATTTACGTAAGTATTCAGATCCTTTGCAATGAGACTCAAAATTGAGCTCAGGTGCATCCTGTTTCTGTTGATCATCCTTGGTATGTTTCTACATCTTGATTGGAGTCCACCTGTGGTAAATTCAATTGATTAGATATGATTTGGAAAGGCACACACATGCCTATACAGTGGGGAGAACAAGTATTTGATACACTGCCGATTTTGCAGGTTTTCCTACTTACAAAGCATGTAGAGGTCTGTAATTTTTATCATAGGTACACTTCAACTGTGAGAGAGACGGAATCTAAAACAAAAATCCAGAAAATCACATTGTATGATTTTTAAGTAATTAATTTGCATTTTATTGCATGACATAAGTATTTGATCACCTACCAACCAGTAAGAATTCCGGCTCTCACAGACCTGTTAGTTTTTCTTTAAGAAGCCCTCCTGTTCTCCACTCATTACCTGTATTAACTGTACCTGTTTGAACTCATTACCTGTATAAAAGACACCTGTCCACACACTCAATCAAACAGACTCCAACCTCTCCACAATGGCCAAGACCAGAGAGCTGTGTAAGGACATCAGGGATAAAATTGTAGACCTGCACAAGGCTGGGATGGGCTACAGAACAATAGGCAAGCAGCTTGGTGAGAATGCAACAACTGTTGGCGCAATTATTAGAAAATGGAAGAAGTTCAAGATGACGGTCAATCACCCTCGGTCTGGGGCTCCATGCAAGATCTCACCTCGTGGGGCATCAATGATCATGAGGAAGGTGAGGGATCAGCCCAGAACTACATGGCAGGATCTGGTCAATGACCTGAAGAGAGCTGGGACCACAGTCTCAAAGAAAACCATTAGTAACACACTACGCCGTCATGGATTAAAATCCTGCAGCACACGCAAGGTCCCCCTGCTCAAGCCAGCGCATGTCCAGGCCCGTCTGAAGTTTGCCAATGACCATCTGGATGATCCAGAGGAGGAATGGGAGAAGGTCATGTGATCTGATGAGACAAAAATAGAGCTTTTTGGTCTAAACTCCACTCGCCGTGTTTGGAGGAAGAAGAAGGATGAGTACAACCCCAAGAACACCATCCCAACCGTGAAGCATGGAGGTGGAAACATTATTCTTTGGGGATGCTTTTCTGCAAAGGGGACAAGACGACTGCACCGTATTGAGGGGAGGATGGATGGGGCCATGTATCGCGAGATCTTGGCCAACAACCTCCTTCCCTCAGTAAGAGCATTGAAGATGGGTCGTGGTTGGGTCTTCCAGCATGACAACGACCCGAAACACACAGCCAGGGCAACTAAGGAGTGGCTCCGTAAGAAGCATCTCAAGGTCCTGGAGTGGCCTAGCCAGTCTCCAGACCTGAACCCAATAGAACATCTTTGGAGGGAGCTGAAAGTCCGTATTGCCCAGCGACAGCCTTAAACCTGAAGGATCTGGAGAAGGTCTGTATGGAGGAGTGGGCCAAAATCCCTGCTGCAGTGTGTGCAAACCTGGTCAAGACCTACAGGAAACGTATGATCTCTGTAATTGCAAACAAAGGTTTCTGTACCAAATATTAACTTCTGCTTTTCTGATGTATCAAATACTTATGTCATGCAATAAAATGCAAATTAATTACTTAAAAATCATACAATGTGATTTTCTCGATTTTTGTTTAGATTCCGTCTCTCACAGTTGAAGTGTACCTATGATAAAAATGACAGACCTCTACATGCTTTGTAAGTAGGAAAACCTGCAAAATCGGCAGTGTATCAAATACTTGTTCTCCCCACTGTATATGGTCCCACAGTGCATGTCAGAGCAAAAACCAAGCCATGAGGTCGAAGGAATTTTCCGTAGAGCTCCGAGACAGGATTTTGTCGAGGCACAGATCTGGGGAAGGGTACCAAAAAATGTCTGCAGCATTGAAGTTCCCGAAGAACACAGTGGCCTCCATAATTCTTAAATGGAAGAAGTTTGGAACCACAAATACTATTTTTCTAGAGCTGGCCGCCCGGCCAAACTGAGCAATCAGGGGGAGAAGGGCCTTGGTCAGGGAGGTGACAAAGAACCCGATGGTCACTCTGACAGAGCACTAGTGTTCCTCTTTGGAGATGGGAGAACCTTCCAGAAGGACAACCATCTCTGCAGCACTCCACCAATCAGGCCTTTGTTAGAGTGGCCAGACGGAAGCCACTCCTCAGTAAAAAGCACATGACAGCCCGCTTGGAGTTTGCCAAAAGGCATCTAAAGACTCTCAGACCATGAGAAACAAGATTCTCTGGTCTGATGATATCAAGATTGAACTCTTTGGCCTGAATGCCAAGCGTCACGTCGGGAGGAAACCTTGCACCATCCCTACGGTGAAGCATGATGGTGGCAGCATCATGCTGTGGGGATGTTTTTCAGCGGCAGAGACTGGGAGGACTAGTCAGGGTCAAGGCAAAGATAAACGGAGCAAAGTATAGAGAGATCCTTGATGAAAACCTGCTCCAAAGCGCTCAGGACCTCAGACTGGGGTGAAGGTTCACCTTCCAACAGGCTAACGACCCTAAGGACACAGCCAAGACAACGCAGGATTGGCTTCGGGACAAGTCTCTGAATGTCCTTGAGTGGCCCAGCTAGAGCCCGGACTTGAACCTAATCGAACATCTCTGGAGAGACCTGAAAATAGCTGTGTAGCAACGCTCCCCATCCAACCTGACAGAGCTTGTAGTGTCATACCCAAGAAGAAGACTGTAAGGCTGTAATCGCTGCCAAAGGTGCTTCAACAAAGTACTAAGTAAAGGGTCTGAATAGTTATGTAAATGTGATATTGCAGTTTATTTTATTTTATAAACTTGCAAAATTTTCAAAAAAACGGTTTTTGCTTTGTCATTATGGGGTATTGTGTGTAGATTGATGAGAAAAATAACTATTCAATCCATTTTAGAATAAGGCTGCAACGTAACAAAATGTGGAAAAAGTTAAGGAGTCTCAATACTTTCCGTATATATTTTGGGGAATTTTCATTGTACGTAAAAGAGTGTAAAAACACCACTTATTTTTATTTTGAAAATCTGTTCCCAAGTATTCCCACGCATAATACAGAGACACGTGATCGTATACAAATGTAAGCAAGGTTTGAAATGATCATGTATTTGTCAAATATTGTATCTGTTTGTGATTCTTGCGATCAAATTGCAGTCTACAAATGATTTGTAATTATGTTCCGACCATCCGCTCACCAAAACATCGGCCTGCGGCTGAATCCCTGATGTATGAGTTATGAAAACAGTCTGCCTGGCTAACTCGTTACTCCCACTCTTTCTCTCTTTTTAAGGTTGACTCACGAGCGGAGTCTATTGACAAGAAGATTGATAGACTAGATGTTGAACTGGTCAAGTACAAGGATCAGATGAAGAAGATGAGAGATGGCCCTTCAAAGGTAAGAGTGAAGGCCTGCACTGAGTGAAGCAGACTGTGATAGTAGACATGTTTACCAGTCAATCATTCTATTATGCCAACCAGGTCTCAGAGCATTTCGTATTATTATTTACATAAATCCGAGAACACGCCATTTAGTATGATGCGTTACGTTTTATATGGTATGTATTAATTTGTGGATGTCCATCACCCATTTCGTATGATATGTTACAAGTTACAATTAGTATTTTATGTTACGAATTTGCAAAACGTATAATATTTTACGAATTTGCAAAGCGTATGTTATGTTACGAATTCTAGCTAGGTGGCTAACATTAGCTATCTGGCTAACGTTAGCAAGGCTAGGGGTTAAGGTCAATGTTCCCTCTAAGCTGCGCTCGTGCTCGGCCTCGCACCACCTCCAGGACTGCCACGCAGAAGAAATGCCATGCCACGCAGAGACGCAAGTTCGCCCCATTAGTTTGCACTATATAGATTAATGTTTTTTCTGTGATCTAATTAACATTATATCAGCCCCTTTTCAATGCAACAAACCAAAACAAATCTAACTTTGCAAGATTGTGTCTGTGATTTTGTTGTCGACAGAGCCAGAGCGCAACGGAGTATAATTCTATTGGCGGGGGTAGCCCACGAGCGGTCTTTCAATCACCTGCGAGTGAATGCGCTTTTCAGATCAGAGCGCAGAGCCGCGGGTGTGCACATTTGTTGATATTCTTTGCTAGTTAGCGAGTTATTAGCCCAGTTATACATAAGTATAGGTCAGCAATGGGGAGTTAATGCTTCCTACAAGAGCACAAAACGTGTAGGCCACATTTCAAGCTGTCTTTTAAAAGCCAGTCAGGTAAAAAGCTTACATCTTAATTAAAGGGGCAGTGTTGTATTTTGAGACAGGCTTGAATATGCAAATAAGCCAATAGGCAGAGAGGTAGCCTACATTGTCTAATTCTCTGTATGGTAATAATAATTAATTGTATTTTGTAAAGTGGTTTCTTGCATAATAAAACACAATACAATGCAATTTACAGCCACCTATTTGGCCCATGGTGTTACAGAGCAAGTAAAAAATAATTAATATCAAGCCCTTCATAATGTAAAAACGTTTTTAAAAGTCTCATGCAATGTAGGCCTGCATTGAACACCACATATAGGCTACTGTAGGCTATATCATAGAAATCAAAGCTATTTCCATGTGGAAAATGTTATGCGATTTGCTCCAATGGTTTTGTTGGTAGGCCTACATAATGCTCAAATAGCCACAATAGCCTATTGGCTACTGTCTAAAACTGTAAGAGTACAGCCTCAGTGTTCACTCTAAACGTGTGCCAGAAGTTGCACAAAATTCTCACAACGTTCAAGTTTCCGCTCACAAGAGCCAAAAATTTGCTCAGTGCCCCAAAACATTAGAGGGTAAAACTGGTTAAGGTTAGGAGTTAGGTTAAAGGGTTAGGGAAAGGGTTAGCTAAAGTAGTAAGTAGTTGAACATTTGCTAATAACCTAAAATGCTAAAGCTATCCGTGTTGAGATTCGAACTCGCAACCTTTTGGGTTGCTAGATGTTCACGTTATACGCCCACCCAGCCACCCTACTTTCGTTTTTACCTTAAGTAACCATCTGTCTTATGTAACCATACCAAACATAATATATAATACTAATATATATTATTATCCCACCAAAGCTCGACTCCCGAGTGGCGCAGTGGTCTAAGGCACTGCATTGCAGTGCTAGCTGTGCCACTAGAGATCCTGGTTCGAGTCCAGGCTCTGTCGCAGCCTGCCGAGACCGGGAGACCCATGGGCGGCGCACAATTGGTCCAGCGTCGTCCAAGGTAGGGGAGGGTTTGGCCGGCAGGGATGTGGGTTTGTTTCCGACGGGGGGGCCAGTATGACAAAAAACAAACTGTAAGTCGCTCTGGATAAGAGCGTCTGCTAAATGACTAAAATGTAAATGTAAATCCCAGATTTACCTTTACTGTGTTACGTCTAGTCTATGAGACTAGGCTGATTATACATGTAATGCTCTTCTGGGGAATTCAACCTGAGTTAAGTGCAAGTAAATTAACGAAATTCCCTTTTTTTATGCACTTTTCTCTCTACGCGTGAGAATAGCACCCACCATTTGTTTAAGTTGGAGATTAAAGAAATGAAGGTGTGGCGGAGGTGTGTCTGCAGATACGCCTTATTCCTCATAATTCAACCACCTTTACGTGCGATGAAACGATAAATAAGGTCGAGCAACCTATCGGTTCCAAGTGGAACAACATCTACTTAATTTTTTCCGATAGAATGACACCATTCTCCATTAACTGTAATTTCCTAATTGATAAGAGCTATTAATAAGAGCTAGGTAAATGAGTAAACCATTTGGATAAAGGAATTGTAAAAATACATCACACATGGGAAACCAGTCATATGGCAGCAAACTAAAGCACACACTACATGACCAAAAGTATGTGGACAGCTGCTCATCATAAATCTCATTCCAAAATCATGGGCATTAATATGGAGTTAGTCCCCCCTTTACTGCTATAACAGCCTCCACTCTTCTGGGAAGGATTTCCACTAAGATGTTGAAACGTTGCTGTGGGGACTTGCTTCCATTCAGCCACAAGAGCAATAGTGAGGTCGGGCATTGATGTTGGGCGATTAGGCCTGGCTCACAGTCGGCGTTCCAGTTCATCCCAAAGGTGTTCGATGGTGTTGAGGTCAGGGTTCTGTGCAGGCCAGTCAAGTTCTTCCACACTGATCTTGACCATTTCTGTATGGACCTTGCTTTGTGTACGGGGGCATTGTCATGCTGAAACAGGAAAGGGCCTTCCCCAAACTGTTGCCACAAAGTTGGAAGCAGGGTATTGTCTAGAATGCAATTGTATGCTGTAGCGTTAAGATTTACTTCACTGGAACTAAGGGGCCTACCCCGAACCATGAAAAACAGCCCCAGACCATTATTCCTCCTCCACCAAACTTTACAGTTGGCACTATGCATTGGGGCAGTTAGCGTTCTCCTGGCATCCACCAAACTCAGATTCGTCTGTCGGATTGCCAGATGGTGAAGCGTGATTCATCACTGCAGAGAACACATTTCCACTGCTCCAGACTCCAATGGCAGTGAGCTTTACACCACTTCAGCCGACGCTTGGCATTGCACATGGTGATCTTAGGCTTGTGTGCGGCTGCTCGGCCATGGAAACCCATTTCATGAAGCTCCCAACGAACAGTTATTGTGCTGACGTTGCTTCCAGAGGCAGTTTGGAACTCGGTAGTGAGTGTTGCAACCGAGGACAGACAATTTTACGCACTTCAGCACTCGGCGTTACCGTTCTGTGAGCTTGTGTGGCCTACCACTTCGTGACTGAGCCGTTGTTGCTCCTAGACGTTTCCACTTCACAATAACAGCACTTACAGTTGACCGGGGCAGCTCTAGCAGGACAGAAATTTGACAAACTGACTTGTTGGGAAGGTGGCATCCTATGACGGTGCCACGTTGAAAGTCACTGAGCTCTTCATTAAGGCCATTCTACTGCCAATGTGTGTCTATGGAGATTGCATGGCTGTGTGCTCGATTTTATACACCTGCCAACAACAGGTGTGGCTGAAACACCCGAATCCACTAATTTGAAGGGGTGTCCACATACTTTTGGCCATGTAGTGTATCAACATCACCCGTTATGCACCTGCATAAGGTAAGTCTGAATACTAACTACTGGAAGTGTGTAGTAAAGGCGTGCATATGAAAGGAATACATTTCCTAAGTGTGAATCGGACCCTTAAAACACAAGTTTGTCACTGTGGGGGCATGGGCCATCTGCATCCTCCCTCTACAGTTCCACTTGTTCTTAGGGGTTGTTTGGAACATTATACATGTATGTCTGTCCATCCATGTGGACAGACATACAGTATATCAGTATTAATGCCTTATGTTGTGTAAATTGTGTTTCCTGGTTATGTTTTCATCAGAACATGGTCAAGCAGAAGGCAATGAGAGTGCTGAAGCAGAAGAGAATGTGAGTCATTTATGAAAGCAGTCTGCCAATGCATGAAACACCTCCAATCAATCAGGACCAACATCACAGTAACACTGATGAACCACATAATGAGCTGTAAACCAGTCAAATGAGTACATCATAACATCTTCATTGATAGAGGTTATCATTTGAATCGTGATGTTTTTCAGGTATGAGGGCCAGAGAGATAACCTCACACAGCAGTCTTTCAACATGGAACAGGCCAACTACACAATACAAACTCTCAAAGACACAAAAACAACAGTAAGGGATATCAGCAGTGTGCTGACTGTAGCACTTACAATTTACTGTAGTTGTCATAGTTATCTGGGTAAACATCTCTGATATTGCATTATAGGTGGATGCCATGAAAATTGGAGCCAAAGAGATGAAGGCGGCATACAAGAACGTGAAGATCGATCAGATTGAGGTAAGCCATTTGTCTTCTATTTGTCTGCTCAATATATTCAAGTTATCTGGTTTGTGTTCATCCAGGTTAAGTGAATGTGAGGTTTCAGTGAGGATGGCCTATTGGGTATTGAGAATGGGTTAAGAGCTCTTTGTGTTCCTGATGCAGGATCTCCAGGACCAGCTGGAGGACATGATGGAGGATGCCAACGAGGTGCAGGAGGCGATGAGCAGAAGCTACGGGACGCCAGAGATCGATGATGATGACCTGGAAGCAGGTCAGTACTGTGAGAGCATGACACAGCCACAAGGAAGACAATACACTGACACTGTGTTACAACACAGTTGGTTTTGCTCCAGTACAGGATAGGTCTATATTAAAACACTGCCGTATATCAACAGATGGCATCATTTCCCACCACACTACAGAGAAGTTTGGTTCACTTCAGCAGTGATACAACAACAGTCAATACAGTCCTTACATCAATAGGATGCATGTAATAATTGTGCATCAATGGCTGTGTGTGTTCCCAGAGCTGGATGCCCTGGGAGATGAGCTGCTGCTGGATGATGACAGCTCCTACCTGGATGAGGCCAGCACTGCCCCCTCCATCCCAGAGGGAATACCCAGCGACAGGGCAACAAACCGGGTACACATCTGTCTCTCTCTAACCACTGTATTTACGTTTACCATGTTTGGTCGTGGATCACTGGCAAACACAGCTGACAGTTGCCTTGTTCGTAGGGTTGTTTGTTTTATAGGACATTACATTGAAGACACATTTATGCACTCATTTAGATGTGGTGTTTCATAATAAATTGTAATTTATTTTGCCTATGTTTTTCAGGGTGGAGTTCTGGTGGATGAATTTGGCCTGCCACAGATCCCTGCCACATAATGGATAGACAGCAGGCAGAAACCAATGGCAACACTCCCAACTGTTTTTTTTTATGTATCATAGCCTTTTTACAACATATATCCGACTGACATGCATTATTAAATGGTGGTGGACAAAAGACTCAACCCGCCTTAGATTATCTATTTAAGATCATCATTGATATCGGATATGGAAATCAATAGTGATGCACTAGCTATATTCATTCTTGATCGTATGAACAAATGTTTTTTTTTCTCCAAGGTGATTCTTGGTTGTTCTAACTTCTACTGCAGCACTGTGTTGCCAACTACCAATAAATATAAATATTTCAAATGATGCCAATGGTGGATTAGTTATAAAATCAGGCATATTTGTAGTTAAATTTTTTTAAACAAAGGAGGGAGACAGGACTAAATAAGTAATTTAATTGTACAATAGAACACTAGTAGTGCATAGAATTACAATCACTCAAAAGCAATAAATACATTTCTGAAAGTATTCATGTAGTTGAACGATATGCTTTCTCTTTGGGTGCAAATGTTGGACAATGTAACATTTAGACCAGAGCTACCGTCCTGTAGGTTTACACTCCAACCCTAATCTAGCGCACCGGATTCTAATAATTAACTGGTTGATAAACTGAACCAGTGAAGTTACAACTGGGGTTGGAGTGAAAACCTACAGGAAGGTAGCTCTCCAGGAACAGGGTTGGAGAGCCCTGGTTTAGACGATTAAAATCACAAAAACAGTACCCAAACTGTATAGTTTTATGACAGCAACAAAGGCCTTGTTTGAGCCAGTCATCACCAACTGAGCCTATAACTGAGGGGGAAGATCTTCTTGTGAAGGTATTCAACAACCTCAGTCTTGTTCCAAAGCTTTTCAAATTCATAGTAAGGAATCTGCAAAAACAAAAAAACTTCTATTAGTAACAGATGGAGCACTGAGAGCAAAAACAGAAGATCCAACTGAATACAGATATGCTCCTGACAGAGTAGATGCCTAGAGACAGAACACTAGCAAAGGGGCTGAAATCAGAATTTACAGCAGACAGAACCATAGAAATAGAACACTCAAAATATACAGCAGATGAACACTTGCAACAAAGGGAGAACAGAACACTCAAAAGGTTGCAGAGTGAATTTCTGACCTGAACAACTTCATATCCCAGAAGCCTCAGGTGCCGCTGCTTGATGGCCTCTTTCCCTAGCAGCTGTCTTGTGTTCACAGTGAACCTCTTGTCGCCGTCAATGCAAACTGCTATCCTGCAAGTACACAACAAAAGTAACAGATCGTATGGGCATGAATTAAATAGCTATTGTACAACAATTTTATCACCTATGTTTATTAATTTCATGGCTTAAATGTCTATTGTTTATATACCTCTTGTAGATATCATCGATTTGACTGGCAGGCAATACATATCCTTCCTCATCAAGCTTTATTTCCACATCTGAAACGACAAGAAACAGAGGCCTGATTTCTTTGCACCTTTCATTTTCAGTATAGGTATAACCATAACATTGTCTGAAGCATTGAATTAAATTTTACCTGTGTTGCATCTTACAATGTGCTGTACATTACCTAGTGTGTAGCAGTATGGAGTGAGGACTCTGGAAGCGAAGTAGGCGCGGGCCCCTAGTAGATCCACCAGTCCAATTTTCACATAGTTGTAAAGGTGTCCGTCCACTAGAGTCTCCAGAGAGCGACCAGGAGTTAGAAAAGACTTGACACGGTACTTAGGAAGGAGCCTTGGACCCTGGGGTTAAAACAGGGTGTTAAGGGTGAATCAGAGGATAGTGTGCTAGGATGGCAACACTGTAGTTGAAGTTGCAATGCTATCATAGACTGAACATTGATTTGTAATAACTCGTTAGCCTACCTCATAAAAAGGGCATTCAAGCTTCACAGTCATGTAGAGTTGGGTCAGTTGTGCCAGAACAATCCGGTCAACCCCTGAGCCTTGCTCTGGGACACACATAAATGTACAACTGATTAATCAAAGACTGTGCAATTGATTAACCAAAGAAACTGTGCCGATATAAGTATGGAGAGTAGTAAAATAAGCGTGAGCTAATTATTAAGGATGCATTACCTTGTAGTTGCTGGAGGAAGTAGCGGTTGAAGACCTTAGACACAAAGTTGACAGGAAACCGCTCTACCAGGATGCAGGAGTGCAGTAGGTTGAGGAGTGTCCGGGGCTGGAAGTGAGAGAAGCGTGCATGCAGGATGGCCTCCACCTTCCGGAACACCTCCCCGGCATTGGGCGGCAGGTAGCCCAGCTTCCCGAACGGCATGATCTGCCTGGCCACTTGGCTGGTGCTGTATTCGTCTGCCCGGTACACAAAGCTCTCCGCCACCGCGTCAAACACCGGCTGCGACAGGATGTTCCGACGCCCAAAGTACTGCATCACTTTGGTGACTGTCTCTGGATGGGACGTGAACGCCATCTTGGGCACGTGTCTCTCCATGGCCTCCACCAAGAAGTGGTCGCTGTGGCCAAAGTGCATGAGCGCCCCGAGCACTAGCCCCAGCTCCTCATCTCTGAAGTGGGGTACGTGCCTGACCGCCTGCTTACACAGGCTGATGACCAGTGGCATGGCCTGGGTCTGGTTCAGGACCACCAAGGCACTAAGCACCCTGCTGACAGCAGGGGGGTCCATACGAGAGGTGACTGACACAGCGTAGGCGTGCATAGCGTTTAGGAGGTCCTGGTAGCGGCCGCCCTCCCCTACTCCAGCCTGCAGCAGTCCGTATACTGCAGTGAGTTCTACCAGGCTCCACTGACCCAGCTCCTGCCTCTGTACCTCCTCCATCAGCTGCTCCAACATCCCACAGCCCGGGCCCTCCAGGGCCAGCAGGGCCTGGCCCAGGGTGCACAGCTGGTCCATGCTCATCTGGCCCCTGTCCAGCCGCTCCTGGCTCTCCGACACCAGCCGCACCACCAGCATGCTCCAGGGGTCTAAGTAGAGGCGTGTGCAGGCCAGCAGAGCAGAAACCAGCCCGGCCTCCGTCAGACGCCCAGAGTCCTGCTCCAGCTGGCAGCACAGGGCCCTGAGAGTGTCCTTCTCCAGCACTTTGGGGTCCTTCAGGGAAGTGCCGTCCTGCTCCATGTCAGCCACGCGGTGCAGGGCTTCCGCTGCCATGGTGTCAGACATGATCTCCACTGTGCGGAGGAGTCTCAGCACCTGTCTGGAGGAAGAGCAGCTAACCAGGCGGTCATGGAAGGCCTTCTCCTCTGCATCAGTGGGCCGGTGCAGCTGACTCAGACGGAACCTGGGGACTGAGTCTTTGTGGAGGCTGACTGACCCAGTGGTGTAGAAAGGGTCGTTGGCAATGGTGGACAAAGTCATCCTACCACAGTCTGGCTGACTGAGTTTCCGACAGCCCTGCCTCTGGATACAGCGGTCAGCTGAGGTCCATAGACACGCCACACACAGGGGCTCCCCTACCGGAACACTCAGGAGTCTGGTGCGACTCAGCTCGCCTGGAGGACAGAGGTGTGCCCCTGTCTGCCTGAGCAGTTGAAGCCTCTGGATCACTTTTAAAGCCATGGCTCTGTTCCAGGACTCACCAGGCAGTTCTAACCTGTGTGAGCATAGGAGCAGATGGTTAGCTAAGCCTACAAAGTTCTGGTAACTCAGTTGACCTAATGGGCAGTTTCAGTTGAGAATATATCACTGCAGTAAGATGGATAGCAAGATGTTTTCCATGGAATGTCCCATTCATTTTGATGTTAGCTTGCTAGTTATGTAACCTTGGCTTGCTGGTGGTTATCAAACCAGCGACCGCACGCAGCATATGCTAACTACGCATACCACGACCTAGCCATACATTAAGAAAATCCATTCAAATGTCAAAAATCAATTCAAATGTCAGCATTTTGCGAACTAATGCAGTGCAATGTACGGGAAAACACAAAATGTAATTTTGCCCTTGTGTTAGTTAGCGGTCATGGCTAGAAGGGATACAGTGTCAAATTAACGTCAAAAGTTTAAACTGTTTTGCATTTTAGCTAACCATAACCCCAAACATGTTCATAACCTTAACAATTATCCTAACCTGCTACGAAAAGGCAAATCTTACAAAAGCTGTATCCTTTCTAGTGAACACTTAAGCTAGCTACAAAGCGGAAGTTGAAGTTATATTATAGGCAACATAATAGCTAGCCTGTTAGCTAGTAGACGTGACAATATGGTCCTCTGTAGCTCAGCTGGTAGAGCACGGCGCTTATTACGCCAAGGTAGTGGGTTCGATCCCCGGGACCACCCATACACAATAAAAATGTATGCACGCATGACTGTAAGTCGCTTTGGATAAAAGCGTCTGCTAAATGGCATATTATTATTACAACGAAGGCATTGAAATGATAAATTCCCTTACTTTATTAATGAACTAAACAGTTGGCAAGAAGAGTACTAGGTACACAGTTTACCTTTCGTGGAACAGGACGCACTGACAATTCTTTTTGAAAAATCCACCCACTGGTCCAGCGTGGTTCCGTAACGAAGGAAGGTGCTCATTCGTGATTGGCCCCGTTGTAAACCAATAGGGTGGGAAAATCTGTTTTACAAAGCCACTAGCGTGCACCATAATACATTTACATTTTAGCAGACGCTCTTATCCAGAGCGACTTACAGTTAGTGCATACATTTTTGTTGTTGTTGTGGGAATCGAACCCACAACCCTGGCGTTGCAAACGCCATGCTCTACATACCTCTAATACCATTTAATGTCAAATGTTACCACACTTTTACAGATTCTGTACGGAGAGTGTTAGTGACATTTCAGATTATTCAGTAAATCCTTGATGATTGACTAAAAGTATCTATGGGGCTAAGTACACTTTGAAAAAGTTAAACTGAACTGTGCATTCAAGGTGGATCCCCCTGATGTTTTGACCTACATTATTTTCGCAGAGGCAAAATCAGGTTGAGGTCAGACTACTCAGATCTCTAAATTAATGTGGTTTATTGCAGCTTTTGCATTGATATTCCTGAATATATATTTCCCCCATTGATTTGAACAGTATATAGGCATTTAAAACAAATCCTTTCATAGTCGCTGGTGCTCCATCTTTGACATACATGTCCACACACACTAGGTTGAATGGGTAATGTGGGGACATGACATAACAGCCTGTGTTGCACAGGAGACAGCAGAATAAGGGAACCATCAGCTTACTAGACAAATCCACATTCCGACAATGTAATGTTTATTTCAACAGTCAAATCATGATTTAAAACAGGGTCAAGAATGGAGAAAAATACAAGTTGAGAGTACTTTATTTAAAAAGTTTATATTTATTATCAAATGTAAAAATTCAGCTAGACCAGGCCATTTGAGTAACTTAGGCGCTTGCGTCAAGTTGCATTTTCTACCACTTTCACATCACAGACTAGTACATTGTTTTGGATATTCACAAATCACCAGCTCGCTACATTTCTCTAATACAGATGTGCAAATCTGGCAGTATTGAAATGGGAGCTCACAGGTGGGTCATTCCATGAAAAGAGTGCCTTTCACATCTCTTTGATATTTTGAGTGGAATTTGTGCACCAATATTGCATTTTTAAATTGCCATTTAATATATAACACATGGAGAATTCAGTAATTCTGATGATTTTCAATATGAATAAAGACTTGCAAAAGTGCCAAGACTCAGTATTTTGACATGTCCCTTCAAACACACCAACTTTTTTTAACCCACTTAACCCCAAAATTTCACCAGCATTGTAATGCTCCATTTATTTTGTTGCTTTGACAGTCATTTCTGAAGATTTATTTCATGTGATTAGTGAATAATTTACACTTGTCCCTCATTTTAAAGGTCAACCCTGTTATGTGAACTCGTTTTAATATGGTGAAACCATTCCTCTTTAAATATTTTTTTCTAAAGAAACATTGAACAGCTAATAGTCAAATCAAACTGGAAAACTGAGCAGGTCGAGCATAACACGTCAACCCTATTACCCATAGAGACGCTATTAATGTTAACAATTTTAATTTGTGAAGCTTTCATTCAATTACCACTGCCTGTTGCACACAAGCTTCCACTCTCCATCACAAGGGGATTTATGGCTGATTTAAGATTAAATTGTCAACCCTGTTCCTTTGTCACGTACTATAGTAATGCTTATTTAACCTCTGGAGATGGGAAAACTTGTTTGTATGAAGATGAACATGTGCCTTTATAACAGAATGTTAGAAAAAAAAAATGTTATGCCAAGTTAGACTCCTCAAAAGGCATTGAATTAGTGGAATGACCCAGGTATGGTTGATAGCAGTGGTTTCGCTTGCTTAAAAAACATGGGTTTTATAGAGCCGAGACACGCAGCAAGATGGTCTAGCCGGTGGTAAAGGAGAAGAGGGGTCAGAGGGGGTGGAGAGAAACCATAATGACTGGCATGGCTGTGGTCTTAATCGTCCTTGTCCTTGGCTCCATGTTTTAGGATGCGTGTGAACTCCACGTAGTTGAAGTTACTCTTTTTGTCAATGGGCGCCTCCCTGAAGAGCTCATCCACTTCCTCGTCTGTGAAGCGGTCGCCCATGGTGGTCAGCAGCTCTCTGAGGTATTCATCCTGGATGACACCTGAGGACAGACAGCGTGACAGACAGGTATGCGAAAATGCCCATGGGTACTTCCCCCAGGCGGGTATGCATGGGTTAGTTATGTTGAATCACACTCAACACATCAGCTGTTTCTAAAATGACCTGCGCTTGGCCAACACAAAAACACAACCTGAACGGATTTGAGCAAAGTTCACAGAAAGCATCTTTGTATTTACAATCCATTTAAGGAACATGTAGTACGCTCAAGGGTGGTATTTTGAAAGGAAGTTACGGGTAGCGATCCTTTCAAGGAAATAAAACAAAAACGTCCTGTGTGTATTTTTGTAAGCATGAATATTCCATATTGACCTGGTTTCATTATTATTTTTCAGCCTGAACCCCTGGGAGCTATGGCTTAACCCACAGGACCAACAGTTATTGAACAGCCCACACATTACTATCTCAGAAGCACTGAGGAAGCTAGTCCAGTCTACCCAGCTGAGTCATATCTTGAAAAGCAAACAACTCAGGAACTTTGTTCTCTACACAGCATGGATCTACACAGCCACCAACATGACATCATGCCCATTTCACTTAGGCTAATTCTCTAAAAACGTTTCCCCAAAGATGATCTTACCTGTGCCCTCTTCGTCGAAGCAGGCAAAAGCGTTTCTGATGACGTCCTCAGGGTCTGTACCGTTGAGCTTCTCTCCGAACATGGTGAGGAACATGGTGAAGTTGATAGGCCCAGGAGCTTCAGTCATCATAGCCTCCAGGTACTCATCAGACGGGTTCTTCCCTGAGAATGAATCACAGTGCCACATTAGAACAGATTGCAACTTCCTGTTACCAGTAACCTAGTTCTACAATAACATTGTCATAAATGGTTTCAATCATATAAAACAATGGGAACAGGGTGTAGGGAATGTTGATGGAAAAACACCTGCTCTTTATTAATGCATGACTGTTTCAATAGAATACCACTCCTAACACCAGCTCAGGTATCTCTTGAGTGTGTTTGTTAAGCTCCCCCTTCAATGATTCTCTTGATCAATTGTTTGACAGATTGAGGTAGAGCACCCAGTTGTCTTTTATTATTATTTTGGTGGGAGTGTCTTCCCCCATACTACAAAATCAGGTTTGAGGAGTTAGCGAGGTAACTCCGGATAACCGGTAACACGAATGTGGCTCACCTTTTAGCCAGGTACATTTCTATGGCATCGAATCCTTTAGAACTAACCTGCTCCGGGGCAGGCTAACTCACAGCTAACTCCATTTATCCTGAATGAGGTGTCTGAGCCACGAGTTAAGGACCAATGACATCAGATACCCTCCCTCTCACCAAGATTGTGTTATCATCCCTTCATTTAAGGAAGACGAATGATTAAATATTTTATTAATCAAATGTAAAAGATACCCATCACATTACACATTAGAGCATTTGCTTTCCAAACTGTACATTTCACACGATTGTATTTTGAAATATTGCAAAAGGTAAACTTACAGCTGCAACCAACCATAGACAGCAGTTCCCATTCAAGTCAAGACTGGCAGCCAGTGTACCCATGAGTTTAACAGTCAAATTGCCAGGGTTAGAGGTTTCAAAACCCTTCTATGGATTATATGTCTATGGCCACAATGCAACAAGACAGCATTTCTAAAACCCCATTTCACACCATAGCCTGCTGAATTTGCAAACTAACTTTTTTCATTTAGAGCGACAGTTTGGCGTTCGACTAGCCATGTGACAAGCCTGCTAGAGTTAGCAGCAGGCGGACAAGCAATATCCACCTTCGTAGTACAGATGATGCCTGACCTGGAATGTGAAGCTAAGTGCCTCTGTTTCACATTGAGTGAAATAAACAAAGTCCAAGAGAAAACAATGAACTGATTTCAGATCAGCAGAGGGGGTTTTAGGGACTAGCTAAGATACTCACCCAGTGAGGCCAGCATGTCGTGCAGATCCTCCTTGTCGACAAACCCGTCACGGTTCTGGTCGATCATGTTGAAGGCCTCCTTGAACTCCTGGATCTGAGACTGGTCAAACATAGCGAACACATTGCTGGTAGCACGCTGGGGGCGCTTCTTGGTGGTCTTTCCCTTTGCCCTTTTGCTCGACATTTTGGCTGTTGTGTGTGTTTACCTGCAAGGGTAAAAAGAGCATATTCCTGAAGTCAGCAGCACCAAATTTGTAATATCCCAAATGACTTTACTACTTCAAATCTGACTTAGAAATAGTGTTCGGATGTCAATGAAGCTCAATTCCAGGGACAATCAAATGTTATGATACTTAAGGGGCTATGGAAAACAAATTGAGAGCAGCAGGTACACTGACTCATGCAATTACCCAAAATAAGATTTGACCAGTTATGCCCAGCTTTCCTTGGCTATGGGCTACTCTTATTCAGACTGTGGCAAATATTCCCCCGAGAGGTGTCCTCACTGCACTATAAATGGAAATGTTCTACTGCTGTGAAGGTTGTTCTAGTTCCCATTACACAGGACAGGAAAAACTGATGTGAAAGAACGAAAAAAAATCCATTTTCAGGCAAGTTCAACAACCTCAATATGCCTCCCTACCTAGCTAGTAATAGATGGAGTCAGTGGTCCACACCATTGACTCACTATTATGGCAACAGCACAGGGCAGGATAAGACCGGTTTAGTGATCTCATTTGATGTTGTGCAATAATACTAGGTGACTGAATTCAGACTGAAGTTCAATCAGAGACATACTAGCTAACGTTAACTGTATAAAAGTAGTGGTTGAGTGCAAGTACGATAAACTAGCTACAAACACCCATTGAAATTCCATACCTTGAGAAATAATTTAGTTTTTTTTTTTTTTTTTAAGCCACCTTTTTGTTAGCGATAGGCCTACGTCATGAATGGACAAAGGGGCCTATAAAACAGATTAATCTAACTAATAGCTATTACTACTTGCGTTGATAGTAGCATCGTAGAAATTAACATGCAGCACAAATATCAATTTACATAAATGCGGAATGGTTATGAGTAAGAAGTTAAAGAGACAGCTGACGTTAGCGACATTGTTAAGGAGACGACAAAAAAATTACGAATGCCAGGATGCTCGCTAGCTTAGCTAGGTAGTTACTGTCCTTTGTTTTGGCACATCTCATAATATGCAGCTATCTAGCGTACGGTCTCTTAATGCAACTTAAAACAATTTCAATTTGCTAGTTAGAACAACATTTTCTTTCTCTCCGTTCTGGAAATACTGTAATCTTGGCAGCTAACAAGCCAACTGCTAGTTTATTTAGCTAGCCTGCTAACTCCGCTAGCTAAGGCTAAATCAGCCAGCAAACAAATACTTTCATATGAAAACGATTGTAGAGTAGACATATCAAGCTGGACAGTAGACATTTCAATAGTAGCATGGAACTGGCAAGTGAAATAACACTTCTACGTTCAAATAAGCAAACATTAGACCTAGCTACCTGATTTCGAGAAGCTGGATAGTCAGTTAGCCCGTGCTGCTCTCTCTCTCTCAACCACCGCCCTAACTTCCTTAAATGTTTCCGCACTGGCAATACAGACCAAACTAACTTCGTGAAATGGGGAGGGATTTAGAATTTCAAAATCATTTTTATTTGATTTCAACAAAAAATGTTTTACCCTATAGTAAAACAATTATACATTTAGATATTTCGTTCATGTTCTTTGCTTTGACTATACATAACTTGATGTAATGCTTATAAATCTGTTCAGTTTTACATTGGTATACCCTCCATTGGAGTTAATGGGGTTTCCTCAAAACACTCCCTTGCTACATATACATTCTTGAGATATGCCCAAATACGGAGAAAATAAATGCATCTTCCTGTGCCTTATCATGAGTAAGATAACAGCGCGTTGGTGACACACATTTTAACATAGTAAACTCTGATTTCCTCAATTTAACAAAACATATAGAGTGAACAGTTGGTTCCTCTTTGCTGCTTGGAGAGACGGTTAATGCTGGAGATCCAAAGCAAGAAAGCCCTATGGAACCCATGATGACTCACTGGTTAAAATGGGCCACAGCAGTAACCTAATGTGGGTTCTCAGTGACCACACGCTCCTCAAAGGGAACAAGAGAAGGGGTTTAACAATGTAGAGCCCCACCCCCTTGCCATAGGCCAAAGGAAGAGTAAACATAAATAATGATCCCTATTAGTGCTATTTTACCATTCATTAGTTTGGTTGTTCAAGATATGAGCAATTGCTATAGTTTACAACTATGGTCCAATAACCATCTGCTTAATGTAAAGGTGTGCATTCTGCCTGTTCCCAAGAGAAGTGGAATTATTCTTAGTCTGTTGAACCATATAAAACTATTTTTACTATAGAGTCAACAGATTGGAACCAGAGCAATGTATTTATCTAAACATATACTCAACCCTGCACCTTAGAGGCTCCTGCCTATGTACATAGACATGGAACACTGGTCACTTTATTAATGGAACACTGGTCACTTGAATAATGTTTACATACTGTTTTACCCACTTCATATGTATACACTGTAGTCTAGTCAAGGCTCATCCTATATAACTACTGCTGTACATATACTATTATATATTATGTATTCTTCAGATATACTACATATTCTATCCATATACTGTCCATAATGTCTATACATCCCATCATATACAGTGCATTCGGAAAGTATTCAGACCCCTTGACTTTTTCCACATTTTGTTATGTTACAGCCTTATTCTAAAATTGATAAAATTACATTTTCCCTCATCAATCTACACACAATACCCCATAATGCCAAAGCAAAAACACATTTTTAGAAATGTTTGCACATTTATAAAAATAAATAAACGGAAATACCTTATTGACATAGGTATTCAGATCCTTTGCTATGAGACTCGAAATTGAGCTCAGGTGCATCCTGTTTCCATTGACCATCCTTGAGATGTTTCTACAACTTGATTGGAGTCCACCTGTGGTAAATTCAATTGATTGGATATGATTTGGAAAGGTACACACCTGTCTATATAAGGTCCCACAGTTGACAGCACATGTTAGAGCAAAACCCAAGCCATGAGGTCGAAGGAATTGTCCGTAGAGCTCCAAGACAGGATTGTGTTGAGGCACAGATCTGGGGAAGTGTAAAAAAAGATTCCTGCAATATTGAAGGTCCCCAAGAACTCAGTGGCCGCCATCATTCTTAAATGGAAGAACTTTGGAACCACTAAGACGCTTCCTAGAGCTAGGGAGGTGACCAAGAACCCGATGGTCACTCTGACAGAGCTCCAGAGGTCCTCTGTGGAGATGGGAAAACCTTCCAGAAGGACAACCATCTCTGCAGCACTCCACCAATCAGGCCTTTATGGTAGAGTGGCCAGACGCAAGCCACTCCTCAGTAAAAGGCACATGACAGCCCGCTTGGAGTTTGCCAAAAGGCACCTGAAGGACTCTCAGACCATGAGAAACAAGATTCTCTGGTCTGATGATACCAAGATTGAACTCTTTGGCCTGAATGCCAAGGGTCACGTCTGGAGGAAACCTGGCACCATCTCTACGTTGAAGCATGGTTGTGGCAGCATTATAATGTGGGGATGTTTTTCAGAGGCCGGGACTGTGAGACTAGTCAGGATCGAGGGAAAGATGAACGGAGCAAAGTACAGAGAGATCCATGATGAAAACCTGCTCCAGAGCGCTCAGGACCTCAGACTGGGGCGAAGGTTCACCTTCCAACAGGACAACGACCCTAAGCACACATCTAAGACAATGCAGGAGTGGACAAGTCTCTGAATGTCTTGAGTGGCCCAGTCAGAGCCCGGACTGGAACCCGATCGAACATCTCTGGAGAGGCCTGAAAATAGCTGTGCAGCGACGCTCCCCATCCAACCTGACAGAACTTGAGAGGATCTGCAGAGACGAATGGGAGAAACTCCCCAAATACAGGTGTGCCAAGCTTGTAGTGTCATACCCAAGAAGACGCAAGGCTGTAATCGCTGCCAAAGGTACTTCAACAAAGTACTGAGTAAAGGCTCTGAATACTTATGTAAATGTTATGTCACTTTTTTATTTTTAATACGTTTGCAAAAATTTCTAAAACCTGTTTTTGCTTTGTCATTATGGGGTATTGTGTGTAGGTTGATGAGGGAAAAAAACAATTACAGCCTTGCAGACCTTTGGCATTCTTGTTGTCAATTTGTTGAGGTAATCTGAGGAGATTTCACCCCATGCTTCCTGAAGCACATCCCACAAGTCGGATTGGCTTGATGGGCACTTCTTACCTACCATACGGTCAAGCTGCTCCCAAAACAGCTCTATAAGGTTGAGATCCGGTGACTGTGCTGGCCACTCCATTATAGACAGAATACCAGCTGACTGCTTCTTCCCTAAATAGTTATTGCATAGTTTGGAGCTGTGCTTTGGGTCATTGTCCTGTTGTGGGAGGAAATCGGCTCTTCAGTTTCTTGGCAATTTCTCGCATGGAATAGCCTTCATTTCTCAGAGCAAGAATAGACTGACGAGTTTCAGAAGAAAGTTATTTGTTTCTGGCCATTTTGATTCTGTAATCGAACCTACAATTGCTGATGCTCCAGATACTCAACTAGTCTCAAGAAGGCCAGTTTTATTGCTTCTTTAATCAGCACAACAGTTTTCAGCTGTGCTAACATAATTGCAAAAGTGTTTTCTAATGATCAATTAGCCTTTTAAAATGATAAACTTGGATTAGCAAACACAACGTGCCATTGGAACACAGGACTGATGGTTGCTGATAATGGGCCTCTGTACGCCTAGATATTCCATAAAAAATCAGCCGTTTCCAGCTATAATAGCCATTTACAACGTTAACAATGTCTACACTTTATTTCTGATCAATTTGATGTTACTTTAATGGACAAAGAATTTGCTTTTCTTTCGAAAACAAGGACATTTCTAAGTGACACCAAACTTTTGAACGGTAGTGTATATACTCCAGACTCCGACATTGCTCATCCTAATATTTCCATTCTTTTACTTTTTAGATTTGTGTGTATTGTTGTGTACTGCACTGTTGGAGCTAGGAACACAAGCATTTTGCTACACCCGCAATAACATCTGCTAAATATGTGTATGTGACCACTAAAATGTTATTTTATTACATTTTTTATGGAAACA